TGTGGACCGCTACCTGGCCGTGGCCCACCCACTGCGCTTTGCGCGCCTGCGCCGGGTCAAGACGGCCGTGGCTGTGAGCTCCGTGGTCTGGGCCACGGAGCTGGGGGCCAACTCGGCGCCCCTGTTCCATGATGAGCTCTTCCGCGATCGCTACAACCATACCTTCTGCTTCGAGAAGTTCCCCATGGAGGGCTGGGTGGCCTGGATGAACCTCTACCGGGTCTTCGTGGGCTTCCTGTTTCCATGGGCCCTCATGCTGCTGTCCTACCGTGGGATCCTGCGGGCCGTGCGGGGTAGTGTGTCCACGGAGCGCCAGGAGAAGACCAAGATCAAGCGGCTGGCCCTCAGCCTCATTGCCATCGTGCTGGTCTGCTTTGCCCCCTACCACGTGCTCCTGCTTTCCCGCAGCGCTGTCTACCTGGGCCGCCCCTGGGACTGTGGCTTCGAGGAGCGAGTCTTCCCGGCATACCACAGCTCGCTGGCCTTCACCAGCCTCAACTGTGTGGCTGACCCCATCCTCTACTGCCTGGTCAACGAGGGCACTCGCAGTGACGTGGCCAAGGCCCTGCACAACCTGCTCCACTTCCTGGCCAGTGACAAGCCCCAGGAGATGGCCAACGCCTCCATCACCCTGGAGACCCCACTCACTTTGAAGAGGAACAACATGACCAAGGCCATGGCAGCCGGCTGGGTGGCAGCTCCGTCCTCCCAGGAGGACCAGGTGCAGCTGAAGATGCTGCCTCCACTGGCACAATGAACCTCAGATCTTGCGAGACCCCCTGCCTAAAATCTCCTTCCACACTCCCTACCCACTTGGTCTGGTATATGCAAATTGTATGTAAATAAGGCTGTATTACTATTCATAAGAATATAAGAAAATAGGAAAACAGCAAGGTTGGTGTGTCACTGGTCAATTGTCATACTCCACCATGACCACTTAACAATCCAGTTCAACTGTGCTTAGCCTTATACTGGGCAGGTTAGTGAAACAGTGGTGACAAATGACAGACCTGGCCCTGCCCTCACCGACTCCCACTCCAATGAGGGAGACAGATCTGTCCCTGGACAGTAATGACCCAGAGTGGGCAGGGCTCAGACAGGAGAGACCGGGGTCGAGACAACCCAGTAGAGCATCTGGCCCAGTGTGGGGGACAAGGGGGCTTCCTGGGGGAGGGCATCAGTAAATTAAGAGAAAAAGACCACAGGGTCCCACAGTAGGACAGTAAATACAAAAAGAGAAAAGCTATTATTTACAAGAGGGTCAAAAATGGCGACTCAAGGGGAAGGTGGAAGGAGAAATTCACTGAGTGTGGAGTGATCACTTTTGCTCTTGGGAAGCCCCTGTCTTAGAAGGGAGAGTGAGCAGGACAGAGCAATTCTGCGATTTTAGATACACAGCATTCTCCGCATCAGGACTGAGGACGAAGAGGGAGAATGTCCAAACCCAAGTGAAGGGCAACCAAGGCAGACTGGCTGGAGGAGGCATTCAGTCAATAGATTTATTATACTTACAATCTACCTTGTGTGGGCTGCGGTTAGGGACACAACGGTGACCAAGATAGCCCAGATGCCACCATCATGGGGCTCACAGTAAATGAGTAAATTAAAATAAATATAATGGTTGGAATCGATAAGTATATTGGGTAGAGATAAAGCCGAATGAAGAGACAGAGTGACATGGAGTCTGATCTAGATGAGGTCAAGGGAGGGTTCACTGAGAAGGTGGCATTTGAGCAAAGACCTGAAGGAGGTGAGGGGGTCAGCCCTGTGGCTGTCAGGGGAAGAGCATTGCAGGCAGAGGGAACAGCAGGTGTAAAGTTCTGGAGTAAGAGAGTGCCCGAATTTTGAGGCACAGAAAATATAGTGGTGTGACTAGAGCAGATGGAGGGTGACAGGAATGGGGGTGAGACTGGCGAGGGGCCAGAGGCCCACCTGTCGGGGTTTTCACAGTCCTGGTGAGGACTTTGCTTTTTACTCTGAGATAAATGGGAGCCACAAGAGAAGGGATGTGATTTGACTTAAATGTTAACACGATCCCGCTGGTTGCTGAGTGGGGAACAGAACAGGGGAAGTTAGGGCAGAAGCCGGGAGCCCAGTGAAGCCGTGTGGTAGTCCAGGTGGGAGATGCTGGCAGCTGGTCCCAGGTGGTTGGTGAGCAAGGAACAGAGCTTTGGGATTTGCTTTGAAGGAATACAATGATGGAAGAAGCACAAGGGCTTATGGGATTGTGTAACATGAGCCTCTTGCCCATCCTAGGAAAACAGTGACTGAGACCCTGAGCTGGAAGGACCTCTGGGAATGATCCCAGGCCCTATTCCAGGGCGGTCACTGGAGAGGCCAAGAGACTTGCCCAGGGTTGCACAGCCGGTGAGTCAGCCTGGGGCCATCCTAGGCTCCCTCTCCCCTCCCTATCTCTGCCTCTGTTCCCACGCCCCAGAATGGCCATGATTGCCTGCTCTGGCTGGTGTCTCCCTTCCTCCCCTATCCCTCAGAGGTCACCAGGAATGGTCCTCTGTTTATAACCAGGCTGGAGAACAGGAGGAAGCTCCCAGCTCTGGACAGGCCTCACCCCTTCTGGTAAGTCATTTTTCTTGGGCAACAGGTTTCAAGTTCCTGATGAGATGCCCCTGCCCCAGCAGTTCCCAGAAGAGGTTACTGGAATCCCTTCTCAGAGAAAGGAAGAGGAGGGAGGAGGGGAATGAGAAAAAAAAAAAAAGAATTTAATGAAGAAAATGGTTTTGCAGGAAGTTGGGGCTTTGGTGTTGAAGGGAGAGAAAGGAGGGGGCCTAGGATCTGGGGGCCCCAGTAATTTTCCCATCCTGTCTCACTGCCATAAAACTATTGGGATGGGGATGTAGAGGAGACAGATATTTTGAACAGAGTCCCCTCAGAGAATAAGATGAAAGCCTGCACATTACCCCTCCATCAAGTGTTCATTCCCATTCAATAAATATTTCTTGAGCACCTACTATGTGCCAGACATTGTTCTAAGCACTGAGGAAACAGCAGTGAATTATACAGAAAAACATCATGCACATGTTCGGAAGTTTCCTAAACCCTTTATGGGGGTCCTTAGTCCTTCCAGTAGGTCCTTGGGCCTCAGGCTAACACCCCTAGGAATCAGGAGAAGACTCTGGGCTGCGACTCAAAAAATCCCAGCCTCACCCTGGTCAGTGTGGCTCAGTTGGTTGGACATAGTCCTATGCAGAGAAAGGTTACTTGTTCAATCCTGGTCAGGGCACATGCCCAGGTTTCTGGCTCAATCCCTGGTTAGGGTATGTGCTGGAAGTAGCAGATCATGTTTCTCTCAAATCAATAAAAACATATTAAAAAAATAATAATAATAGCCCTAGCTGGTTTGGCTCAGCGGTTAGAGTGTCGGCCCTCGGACCAATGAGTCACAGGTTCGATTCCAGTGAATGGCATTAACTTGGTTTTGGTTTGGGCTCGGCCCTCGTCAGCATCATGCGGAGGTGACCAGTCGATGTGTCTCTCCCACATCAATGTTTCTCTCTCTCTCAAGCTTACTCCCACTCTGTCTGAAAATAAGTGGGGGAATATCCTCGGGTGAGGATTAAAAAAATAAAATTGCATTAACAAAAAAGAAATCCCAGCCTCAGCTCCATCCTGATGACCCTTGGACCATTGGATAAATCCTTTTCATTCTCCGGCTTTAGTTGGCCAGTCTGTAAAATGGGGAGGGGGTTGGTCCCAAGTGGATATGGACCGTGAATAGGCCCTAACACTTTTAGTCCGGAAGGGTTGTCTTTATGGTCTTGTCATTCTTAGTACATGATTTAGAATATCTGGGCTCACACATGCCAGTGCCATCATTGTTGCAGATGAAGAAGCGGAGGTCCATCGGTGCCTGGAACTTGACAAGGATGCTCAGGGATACCAAGGAAAGCCCAGGGTCTCCCGAATGCTTCTGGACGTCTGTTTCCTCTTACACACCACTTCTCTGCTCCTCTCTCTGTCTCGCTCTGCCTCTCCTAGAATCTCTCAATAACCCATCAGCACGCCACCATCCAGGAATTTCTCTCAACCCCTTCCTGACCTTGTTTTTATGCTTTTGCTCCCTGCTGGGTAAGGGAGGACAGTCTGGGACATGTCCTTAAACTCCTCCCTGAGCCAGCTCCCTGGGGACCCTCTCCCTCCCATGGAGGCAGTGGGGCTGCTTGAGACCGGGTATGGATTATTTTTCCCCCGGGTATGGTTTTATGAGCCAAAAGTCTGGACTATCAACCTCTGCTGACTGAGGGACCTTGTGCCAGGCCCCCGCCCCTCTGTCAGTTCCTTGGGAAGGGTTGATTAGCTGCTTCTGGAGATGAGATAAGGATGCTAAAACCTGTAGAGTAATAAAGGCTCTTTATTGAGTGCTTACTGTGTGACTGGCACCGTCCTAAGCACTTCGCATAGCTATGTCTTTAAAGATGCGCAGACAAACCTCCCAACAACCCAAGGCGATAAGTGCTACCATGATGCACGTTTTGTAGAGACTCCTGAAGCCCAGAGAGGTCAAGTCACTCGCGCAGTATCACACAGCAAGTGAATGACGGCACTGGGCTCTCAAACCAGATCTGTATGACGACGACACAGCCAGTTTTCCCTTAATCCCAGTGAGGCTCTAACCTGCAAGCGAAGGTGTATTTGGGGTTCACTAGCCCAAATTAGGACTAATTCCGAGCCTCATTTGGGCACAGAAGCCACCTAGATATGTAATATCACGAACGAGCTCCGTGACACCCGCCGACGCCGACGCGGGAACCCATTCTCGTTCTCCTAGCAGCCGTTTAACGGCACTGCCCTCGGACCGCTTCACTTCCGCCGTATATTTGCATATTCAGCGAACCGACGTCGGGGCGTCAGCGCGACGAGGTGACGTCAGGAAGCGCCCCTGCAGTGCCCCCCCCGGGCGTACGCACGTACGTACGCACGCACAGCGACAAAACGGGCGGGGGAGGAGGGAGAGATTGGAGGCGCCCCGCCCAGTCAGCAGGGTTGCGCGTCCCTCGTGAGACCGCCAAGATGGTGGTGGGTGCGTTCCCTATGGCGAAGCTGCTATACTTGGGCATCCGGCAGATCAGCAAGCCGCTTGCCAACCGCATTAAGGAGGGCGCCCGCCGAAGCGAGTTCTTCAAGACTTATATCTGCCTCCCGCCGGCTCAGCGTGAGTCTGACCCCATGTCCCTCCAACCTTTCCATTCTCCAACCCCTCTCAGGTGGTTTCTCGGGGGATGGACTTCTGTTCACGACCAATCACAGCCCGAACCGGCAGAATCTTGCAACCAATAGGGGAGGACCTGTGCGATAAGGGTGTGCGGTTAGTCCAATTGTAAGGACGGGCGTGGGTTGGGGGGCGGGTCAGGGCGCTAGCTCCGAGTTGATAATACCAGCCAATAGAGGAAGAGAGCGCGTGGAGACTGACGTCTAGGCGAGCCAATAATGTGGGACAAGAGTCATTTGGGCGGGGCATTCCTGGGCTGAAAGAAGCTAGGGACAAGCCGAGGAGGGTAGGTGGAGTCATTTGCCACGCTCTCCTTAGGCATCTTAACTTCTAAAACTACATCCCGTGCCTCAGTTTTCCTCCTGTCCTGAGAGGTGAAAGGTGCTTGTATATCATCCGTTTAGGACATTGGTTTGCCCGAGTTAATACTACTGGAAGTAGGACTGGGTTAGAAGCGTGTCTAGGGGAGAAGTTAAGTTGGGGTCTAGGAAGATGGTCTGGGAATCTGGCACAAGGGTAATTTTAAGCAGAGTGAACACTCATCCATCTACTCATTAGTCCACTGATAACACCGTATTTGCCGGTCCATTCATTCAGGAGACAGACTGTGCTGGCTTTTGCAGGGTACTGGAAGAGACACTCATGACCTATCATTGTCAACCCAGAATGGTCAGGGTGTTGGAAACTCGAGCCCAGAAAGAACACCTGATTCAGGGACATGGTGCCAGGAAGGCTGTCTAGAGGAGGGCAGCCAGGGCTGAGATCTAAAGGGCATAGTAAACACTCAAAATATGAGCTACTTTAAAAAGATGAACTGTATGCTGCTATTGGCCTGTGGGAGCACGGAATTAGGAAAGTAATGTAATTTTTGGCTCAGGGAACCACCATTCATCCATCTATCCATTACAAATTTAGCTAGTATTTTTCTGAGCATCAACTCTGTGCCTGGCCTTGTACTGGGTAGTGTTGGTGAAACTTCAGGGACCAAGTCAGCCTAGTCTGTGCCCTCAAGTAGAGACTGACTTATTCTGCAAGTGATGACCAGAGTGAACAGAGCTGTGATGGGATTGCCCACTGAACGCCTGACTTGGCTTGGGGTTCAGGGCCGGCTTCAGGGTGAGGAGAAACTCACCAGACAATATGGGGGTAGGGCTGATGTTGAAGGAGAGGGAGGAGTATGAGCAAAAACCGAATGGTTAAGAGGAACACACCTTTTATCCATCTGAGTTTGGGTTCTTAATGTTTGCTTTCCAGGGCCTACAGTTCTTAGTCCATTCACGTTTGTTTGGTGGGCCTTCTGCCAGAGCTGCAGATCTTAGACTAGAAAAACATTGGATTGCAATTACCAGGTGCTTGCATATCAGCTATCTCATTTGACTCTCACACTATTTTATCCCTATGTCAGGGATGGGAAATTACTTCTCCCAGTTTATAGAAGAGAAAACGGAGGCCTCGAGAACAGAAATTAATTGCTGAGGTTGCACATGAGTTTGTGCCAAAGGCAGGTCTTAAATTCTGCATGGGATTCCCAGAGCTGGTGTCTGTTTCCTGCCACTGCCTTTTTCTCAAACACTGTGATGTGTTTTAGCATTGTAATTTAGAAAGTAGCTTCTAAACCACTCTGGGCTTCAGTCTCTTCTTCTGTATAGTGGGTATTTTATAATTACAACATTTAATGGGCACTCATCTTTGCCAGGCAGTGTGCTAAGCACTTCACAAGCTTTCTAACATTAAATCTTCACAAATTATTATGAGATGTATATATTATTATTATTCCCATTTTGTGTATTATATAAGCATTTATGCTATGAATAATACGTTGTTGTGAAGGGTAAGTGGATATACAATGTTAAGTCAGTGGTTCACACTGAGTTGTGGCTGTTGTATAGATGTTGTGGATACAGCAGAAAAGAAAAGACCAAAAATCTTGTCCTCGGGGACCTTACATTCTGGGGGGGAAGCCAGACAATAAACAAAATCAATAGTTAAAATATGAAGTATATTAGATAGCAATAACCATTCTGGAGAAAACATCAGGGATGCAGAAGGAGTATTTGGGGGCAGGTTGTAAGCTTATATAGGATTATTATGGAGACCTCACTGAAAATACAAGAAGAGGAGGGAACGAACAGTATAGGTGTTTGGGGGTAGAACATTCTAGCCCAGTGGTTCTGCACATGCAAAGGTCCTGAGGTGAGAGTGTGCCTGGCATGTTGGATGAACAGTGAAGCAAGTGCGGCTGAGCAGACAGATGAAGTGGAGACTGAGGGCAGAGAGGAAACTGGTAGTGTGGGAGAAGCGGGCAAACTGTGCAGGGCCTGTGGGCTGCTGCAAATGCTTTGGCTTTACTCTGAGTGGATGGGACTCACTGGAGAGTCTGAGCAGAGGAAGGACAGGATCTGTATTATATTTTAATAGGATCCATTTGGCAAGCATAGGGTGACTGTGGATGCAGGGAGGAGGCAACACAGTAGTCCAGGTGGGAGACGAGTGGGGAGGAGAAGTCAGATTCTGGAGACATTCCACCCCCCAACTCTTCTTTTTAAAGTTTCAAACCCACAGAAAGGTTGAAAGAAAGAATGGTAGAATCATCAATTACATACTCTTTACCACTTATTTCATCCATTGTTAGCCTTCAGCAAAGTTGCTATGTCTTTACTCTCATATGTATACATATATGTATATCTTTGCTCTCATATGTATGTGTGTATGTATGTATATACAACTTTTTTCCCTGAACAATTTTGAAAATGAGTTGTGGCCATGATTATTCACTTAAATATTTCAGCCTATATCTCCTAAGAACAAAGACATTCTACAAACACAGTGCCATACCTAAGAATTTTAATACTGATAACATTATTGATAACAATATTAATATATAGTTCATATTCTGACTTCTCCAATTGCCTTGGAAATACCCTTTTTTACTGTTTATTATTATTTTTATTCTAGGGTCTGCTTAAGGATCATGCACTGCATTTGATTATCATGTCTCGTTATGTCCTTTAATCTACAACAGGGCTCTGCAATCTGGCCCTCTGCCTATCTTTGTAAATAAAGGGTTTTTTTTTTTTTTTTTTTTTAATCCTCACCCGAGGACATTTTTCAGTATTTTGTTCAGATAGGGAGGAAGGGAGGGAGGGAGGGGGAGAGAGAGAGAGACAGACAGAGAGAAACATTGACGTGAAAGGGACACATTGAGTGGCTGCTACCTGCACGACCAACCAGGGCTGGGGACAAACTGCAACCGAGGTACATGCCCTTAGCAGGAACCGAACCCGGGTCTCTCTGGACCGCAGGCCGACGCTCTAACCACTCAGCCAAACCAGCCAGGGCATAAATGAAGTTTTATTGGAACACAGCCACACACATTTAAAAAAAAATTCTTCTTCTTTTTTTTTTTTTAATTGTTGCAAGTATTACAGATGTACCCCTTTTCTCCTCATTGATCCCCTCCTTCCCACTCCCACCCCCCTCCTGTCTTCTGCAGTCTAGTGTCCGTGTAGAATGGTTGTACATATATGCATACAAGTTCTTTGGTTTATCTGTTCCCACTCCTCTCTCCCCCCACCCCTCCATCTCTCTGAGGTTTGTCAGTCTGTTCCCTATTTCCATGATTCTGGATCTCTTTTGGTCAGCTGCTTATTTTCTTCATTATGTTCCACAACTAAATGAGATCATGGGGTACTTGCCTTTCTCCGACTGGCTTATCTCACCTAGCATAATACTCTCTAGTTCCCTCCGTGCCATCTCAAAGGGTAAGAGATCTCTCTTTACAGCTGCATAGTATTCCATTGTGTAAATGTACCACAGCCTTTGTATCCACTCTTGTCTACTGATGGGCACTTGGGTTGTTTCCAGATCTTAGTGATTGTAAATAGTGCTGCTGTGAACATAGGGGTACATATATTCTTCTTGATTGGTGTTTCAGGTTTATATATTCCAAGAAGTGGGATCACTGGGTCAAATGGTAGTTCCATTGTTAATTTTTTGAGGAACTACCATATTGTTTTCCACAGTGGCTGCACCAGTCTGCATTCCCACCAGCAGTGTGCTGAGTACCCTTTTCTCCACATCCTCTCCAGCATTTGTTATTTGAGGATTTGTTGATGGCCACCGTTTTGGCAGGTGTGAGGTGGTATCTCATAGTTGTTTTAATTTGCATCTCTCTGATGATTAGAGATGTTGAGCACCTTTTTGTGTCTCCTGGCCATTTGTATGTCCTATTTGGAGAAGTGTCTATTTAGGTCCTCTGCCCATTTTTTAATTGGATTGTTTGTCTTCCTTTAGTTGAGTTGTATGAGTACTCTGTATATTTTGGATATTAACCCCTTATCCAGTGTATCGTTGGCAAATATGTTCTTCCAGAGAGTGGGTTCCCTTTTCATCTTGATGCTGGTTTCTTTTGTCATGCAGAAGCTTTTAAGTTTGATATAGTCCCATTTATTAATTTTTTCCTTTGTTTCTCTTGCCCTAGGTGATGTATCAGTGAAAATTCCACTGCATATGTTGTCTGAGATTTTTCTGTCTACATTTTCTTCTAGGATTTTTATGGTTTCATGGGTTACATTTAAGTCTTTTATTCATTTTGAGTTTATTCTTGTGTATGGTGTAAGTTGGTGGTCTAGTTTCATTTTTTTGCATATAGCTGTCGAGTTTTCCCAGCACCATTTATTGAAGAGATGGTCTTTTCTCCATTGTATGCTCTTGCTTCCTTTGTTGAATATTAATTATGCATACTGTCTTAGGTCAATATCTGGATTCGCTGTTTCGTTCCATTGATCGATGTGTCTGTTCTTGTGCCAGTACCAGGCTGTTTCAATTATGATGGCTTTGTAGTATAACTTGATATCTGGTATTGTGATCCCTCCCACTTTATTCTTCTTTTTCAAAATTGCTGTGGCTGTTTGGGGTCTTTTATGGTTTCATATAAACTTTTG